GGAATATAGAAGATAAGTCGAGAGATGTAGGGAAATAGAAATAGATGTTTATTAAGAGTCATAGGAGAACAAATATATGTAATATGATAATGAAATATAAAACTATGTGGATACATGGTTATGAGATAAAATATGTAATAATAGGAAAATATGATGAAAGTGAGTTTATAAGAAGTGATATGAACTAGGTAAACATGAGTTGGACAAGTACATAGTGGTATGATTTATTATGAGAATTAGTATAATGGAGCTATATGAAAAGATTATAATGAATATATGAAATTGAATTAAGTAAAGAGATTAAATTAGTACCTAAATAAAAATACTATTAAATGATATATGTTTAGAAATACGACATAATTTATAATCTAAGGGAATACAAAGAAATGGAGCATAAGGTAGATAATATGATATCCGTTATTATATATCCCTATGATATATGTCATCAGGTAATATGAAAGGACTCTGAAAATTGATATAAGCTATGAGAAAGTGTTATAGGTGTTTCTATGTGTTATATGAAGCATATATGATCATATGTGAACAAGATATGATATGTATGTTTATATGAATATTTGAGAAATGATCTAAGCTATATGATATGATATATGTGATTATGTGCACTTTGGGATATATGTTATATGATATGGATCTAGGTAACTACGTGATAAAGTATATAAGCTATGTGACATGTAAATGTGACTCATATGAAAATGTTCTATGAGTAATTGAACTATGTGTTATGTGAAAGGATAAGTATAAAAGAAAATGCCCATGTTATGTGTCTTGAGAGCTAGGGGTATAGTTGGCATACCAAGAGTTGAGGGTCTACGCGGTCCTTCGGGACATATATGTATTCTTTGGAACATGTGTGAAGTCTGGTGAGACACATACTTGATCCTTGGCATATGTATATGATTCTTAAGGAATGATATGTGGTCATTTGGGACATATATGTATTCTTTGGAACATGTGTGAAGTATGGTGAGACACATACTTGATCCCTAGTATATGTATATGATTCTTAAGGAATGATATGTAGTCCTTATGGACATTATTATATGGCACTACGGTGCAATTCTACGCGGCACTCCGGTGCAATTCTACGTTGCACTTCAGTGCAATTATACGAGCTGTGGTGACAGCATAGTGCACAACCTCTATAGACTCACATATCTATAGTTCTCACATGTGTACATGGGCTTTGAAAAGAGAACATAATTTGATATAATGATATGTGTATTTCTCGTGACATGGTAGAAGTGCATATATGTCTTGGTGATATGAGAACAATGTATGTGATATATGTATATGATTTGTGATATGATGTGTGCATGATATGATATATGTGTGATAGGGGTTATGATATCTGTTACATAATATACATGAATATATGTTGATGTATATGTAAATGAGTTGTATAATTTGATAGCATAAAACAGTCATGCATGATTAGTGGGTATGAATTCCATTAGATGTGTTTTCTTTATGCCTCACTAAGTCATCGACTTAGCGTGTGAGTGTTTCACACGCAGGTTACAGAAAGTGAATATGGAAGCTGTGAGGAGCAATACAGGTCAGCATCTCCCTTGCAATATTTCAGATCAGAAAATAGATGAGTTAAAATGATTTTTGTTATTTTGAATATAGTTGGCATGTACTAATTGATTGAGTTAAATATGCTCTGATCGATTTTGGTTATTGTGGTCAAATTATATAACTAAACTGCTTTTACTCTAAGGAAAGTTTTAAATTTTCTTTGAATTTTGTCAAGAGTCAAAGTTTGAAAAGTCAATGTGACACCTCGGACTCGTATCCGGGTCGGGTACGGGTTGGGGGGTGTTACATTCCTCGTTCTTCGCCCGTAAATCTTGAAGCATTGATTTAAACGTTCGAGGAAGTAGTTCGTAACCTGATAAAAAAATGTATAACTTACTAACTTGCTTTCTTTGCAAAATTAAAACGATTGAAAGAAAACAAACTACATCAGTTTCACTTACCCATGCACACAATTAATTGACACTCATCATTCTTCTTGTGCCTTCCATGGTAGTTCACAGCAATGTGTCGGAGACAATACCTATGTTGGACAAAGGGTGGTTGCCACATTAGACCCAAAGACTCCATTGCTGCTTTGATCTCAGCTCCGCAATCTGAAATGACATATATTTTCCCTCGTGATAATATGTGCACGTAAATTTCGGAGGAAAAAAGCCCAAGAATTTGTATCTTATCCTTCGACAAGAGCAAAAGCAACTGGAAGAATATTTTGATTGCCATATTGGACAACTGCCAATAATAAAACTTGCTTGTATTTTCCATACAAGAAAGTCTCGTCGATCTGGACCACATTCTTGCAATATTTGACAGTATTAACACAATGTGGGTAACTCCAAAAAACTCGGTAGAATTGACATCGATCATGAAGAACTCTATCATTATGGTATGCATAGGAGGTTTCAAAGACCACAATTGTCCCAGGATTCAACGTCCGCACCAGTCTAAACCAACCTGGAAGTTCGTTGTAAGATGCATCTCATTTGCCATGAAGTTTGATAATGATATTTTGTTTTTCCAACCAAGCTTTTTTATAGGAGATAGTGTACCCATACTGCGATTGTATAACTAAAATCAACACTGCAACAGCTATATGAGAGCTTGTTTTTACCATGGGCATGATGGCTTGTCATATCATTTCAGAGTCCAAGTTGGGATGATCTTGGTTGACCCTTCCAACACAACATGTGTGAGGATTGTTGTATACTTTAGTTCCCATATGTTGTTTTTCCTCTTCATTTTTGATACGTGAACTATCCAATTGCATCCATTTTCGCGTCGGGCACAATAACATACATATTTTTCGGTCGTGGATCAGTTGACTCTGGACTGAATAGAATTACGGATATTGTAATTTTTTATAGCCATCACCGCTTCTTCTTTGCTTGAAAACTCCACGGCTAAAGACAACTCACCATTATTTATTGATGAGTAATATCCATAGTCACCGAGATGTGATATATCCACAAATTCTGGCCCGTACATTGCACCATAATCAGCTTCATAATGTGTGCAGGAGGGTCAGTTGTGCCACATTTCCTAGAACTTCATCATCATCGGAGTTGAATTACGGTGATTCTGGGTGAATGAATAGTCCAGTCTCAGCACCATCCACACCAGGCTCATGAAGCGGTTCTTCTGGTGGAGATGATGGTTCCTCCATGTGCTCCACATTTAGGTCGAATAACCTACTACTTGCACGCCTTCCCCTTGAACTAGAAGGCATATCGACATTGAGATCGAAAAAGCTCGCAGTCGAATGCCTCCCCCTGGAGCTTGAAGTTATCGTGTCAAATGGAAACTGCACAGATGGTTGCGTCGATGACATCTCCATATAGTCAAAGAAATTTGCAGATGAATGCCTTCCCCTTGAACTGGACGCGGTGTTGCCATACGGATTATTCGTTGACCCACCTCAGTACATATCGTAAGGAGTTGCGGATGAATGTCTCCCCATTATGGCATTAAAATCATTACACATTACTGTAGTCGGACTGTCAACTTGATCAACTTGTTTAGCTAGCCCATAGTGGAAGCTTAATGATTGACCCCAAACAGTATGCACTTGAACAAAATATGCATACATCTCAATATCGGCGTCTAAATAATTACTTTGAGCTTCAACCATCATTTCAACATCATCATTGTTTGAAAGTTCGAACGCTGTATAAGTTAATGGCAATAATGATGTTGGAAATCTGTACTGCAACGACGACATTCTTCTACTACTTTCAACATGAATTTCCTCGAAATCTTCGTTATCAGCTCCTCAAGAGTTATGTTTCTCTTGAATGATATTTTAACACGCTCATTTGATACGGAAACAACTCCGGTTTCATCTTCTCGAATTTCACCATTATAATAAACAATAGCTGAAAGTCGCGCCATTCTTTGAGTTTAAAAGTGCGACAATATTATATCTGCAAAAAAATAACTGAAACAAACCTGATTAAATAAATAATATATGAACGAAAATATAACACAATAAAATTTTTAAACATCAACGTAAATAATTTAAATAATATAATTTTATATTATTACCTGCACCGTAAAACTATTTCGACGTATGCTCCCACTTTCCAATTTTACAAACACAAAAATTAATTGAAAATAATTAGTATAATATTTTTTTCAAATAATCATAATAAACAATAAGTATAATAAAAAAATTATAACAAAATTACCTTATAACGAAAAATCTCACGAACTTCTAAATCAAATATGAGAAAATTGTCATAATTATTGACTCGTTGACGGAATTGTTGTATTAATTCATAAGTTGAGAGGAGAGATGTGATGAGATGTAAGGAACTTAACCGGGGGAGAAAGGTATTTATAGCCGAGAAAAATTGCTATAATTATACAAGACGCGGTACCTGCACTGCGCCTTATATAATTATATCAGTTAAAGGTATGACGCGTCCCCTGCCCTGCGCTATACCCCTACGTGGCGTAAGGCGCGTCCCAGAGGCCGCGTGTATTCCATGTCAGCATATAACGCGGTGCAGGGGCACGCCTTACCTCACGTGGCACCAAATCAACATATAACGCGATGCAGGGGCACACTTTACTGCAAAGGGTGTTAGATCAAGAAATATAGTCTGACCGATATTAGATCGGTAAATATACCGATCAACGTGATTTTTCGGAAAAAACGCCTTATGTTTGTTTTTCTCATTTTTATTTCTTAATATTAAATTATTTTTAGAGCTCTTATGATGTTAATGTCCATAATAGTTGTTGTAAATTATGATTAGAAAATGTTTACATTAATTGCAAAATTGAAATATTCATATTTAAACCTTTTAATCTATGGGTTAACCTCCATAAAATTTTACTGTAATTTAAATAATTGAGATAATAAATACTGGTTGACCAATGAGAACAACTGTATGATAAGCTGATTACGAAGTGTACACAGCAAAAAAAGAAAAAGAAAAAAAACAGTATTTTTATCCATAATACAAAATTCAAAAGAGCGCTCGTCTTTCTCTTACACACGACACGAATCGATTCAAGTATCTCTCTTTGAGTTTATGTCATGCCTGTCCGATCTGACTAGCTAGTCTAACTCGTTCTCTCTCCAATTCCTCCCAACTCAGTTGTTCAGCTGATGTTTTCCCACTAAACGCAATCATTCCGTCGAAGGCTAGGGTTTAGATAACGAAGTTCAGTTGGAATTTCTTTATTGGATTCTTAAAGTTTGGTATTTTGAAGTTCTACCGAGTGGCCGCCCTTTGAATTAAGCCGGAATGGTATCGCTTTTCTGGATTACGGAGTTTTGGGAAGGTTTCAAAGGTTGTCTGGTGGATGGGGATTAATTAGGGTTTCTTTTTTTATTAATTATTTGGGATATTTTAAACTTAATCTGTTTATTTCCATACCTGAAGTGGAAAATTTTAAGGGCTCTACGAGAATTAGAAATTTAGGGTTTCTCTCGTGAGCTATGCGAGATTGTTGAATTTTGTAGTGAAAATTTAAAATTGTTTGTTGAATTTTGTAGTGAAAATTTAAAATTGTAGTTTTAATAGGATAAGAATTTGTAGGCTTTAATAATTGTTTTTTTTTTACATTTAGAAGTCGGGAATTTGTATGAAAAAATAGGATTATATTGGGAGAGAAATGTTTTATTCACAGTTTATATTGGCGAAGAAAGGTCCCTTGGGGACAATATGGATAGCAGCACATCTGGAGAGGAAGCTCCGAAAGAATCAGGTGGCTGATACCGATATTGGTGTCTCTGTTGGTTAGTACTTTTTAGTTTCCTTTTATTCTTTAGCTTGATATCTCTTAATTTAAATTTGAAATATTTCTATATCTTTTGACTTGTATTAATTTGTTCATTTCCCCTTCATGATGCAATATCTAAATCTTATTATGTTTAGTTCGCTCTAGAATGTTTTGGATATAGTTTTATGTCTGTTGAGTACTTCTAACCGCTTCATGAAATTAGAACAGTTTCAACTCATATATTACGAAAAGTGGTATTTTAGATTTGAAAATCATATATGCCAGATTAGTTTGAAAATCAGCATGCTTGGTAGCATGGTCATACTATTAAACCTGGCAGTCAATTTAGTAAAACATGCATACTCCAGAAGTTATGGGGCAATATGCATATAGTTTTCTCCTCGACTCATGAAACAGAAAATATGTTTCCTTAGTTCCATTTGAAATTTTATTACGGGATTATTTTTAGAAGCTCATAGAATCTTTTTTCGCTCATTCTTAGTGATGCATGAACTAATCTTCTTTAAGTCCTTTTTGCTTCTTCCCCTTTTGGGCGTATTTGGTGGGTTCCTGGGATTTCTATTGGTTTCTTTGGAAACCTATGTTCATGTAGGAGTAATTTTCCTCTGGAACATGGTAACTACTATTAATAGCATATTCTTGAAATGTGGTTTACTTGGTTACTCAGTGGAGGAATTTTTCTTTGTGCTTGTTCAGCCCATTTTTTGATTTTGTCACTTATACATATCTCTGCAGTAATAAAATTAGATAAAGGATATGATTGTTATTTTTCACATTCTATTATCTAATTTTATGTTCATGAGCAACCTTTTGGCAGAGGATAAGTTGCCTAGGCTCTTCTAACTTTTTGGTTGCCTTTTGTTGTTTATATGGCCTTTGAGCAGACTCTATTCTGTTTCCTGATGTACCGATCGCACTGCGATTGTCCAGTCATCTTCTTCTTGGAGTAGTGAGGATATATTCTCGAAAGGTAAATTACCTTTTTGATGATTGTAGAGAAGCCTTGCTTAAGATAAAGCAGGCATTTCGCTCCACTGCAGTTGACTTACCACCGGAAGAATCAACTGCGCCTTACCATTCAATCACTTTGCCCGAGACTTTTGATCTTGATGACTTTGAGCTGCCTGACAATGAGATTTTTCAGGGGTTAGTTTCTGATATTTTAAACTTTTAGATTGCCTTTCTTGTTGTATGTGTTGCTTTGGTACTATGAGCTACACATAGCATCGTATGTTGATTAAACATAATTTTCTTGGCAGTAATTACGTTGATCATCACGTTAGCTCAAGAGAGCAGATTACACTTCAAGATACCATGGGTGATGTGGTTTACTCTACATCACAATTTGGATTGGATGGTTAGTGCATGCTTTTAACTGTGGCAATGCTAGTTTTAGCTACATCTGCTTAGCAAAATTTAGTAAGTCTAAAATTCTGCATTTCAAATACTTACAGAGCGGTTTGGTGATGGTGACATTTCTCAGATTGGTTTGCTTGATGAGGTAATGTTGTCATTCTCGTGTCATTGATATTTGGTGATTGCTTTGGAATTGGTTTCTAATCAGCAGGAGGCTTAGTGGTGTAGGATCTGGAAATTAAGAAAGGATGATTATATAGCAAGCAAGATTTTCTTATTTTTGGGCCTACATGGATGTGAAAATATGATTTGTTTTGAATATTTTGATGGTTGCTTTAGGATAGGAGGATTTAAGCTTAAAGTGTGACAAAAATGATCAAATTGATTTGGATGTTGTTAGCATCTGTGAATTGTACCAATGAACGGTATTCAGGTTTAGAATTGAAATATGATGTTAAGATAGTTAGGGTTTGATTGATGATTTAGGAATAAGAAGATGATGAAGTCACGAAGACTGTGCAGCAATATTTACTACACTTGTGTACTGGTTGCTTGTTTCCTTATACAAGAAAACATACTCATAATAGCTATTGAAATTTTCATAAACTGCCCTCCATTTAATAGTAGAAATCATATTCATATATCTGTATACGTTCTGCTTTTTGGAAGGAGGCAAGATCCAAGATAGGAACTATAAAAAATTGCTCTAGGAAGTATAATAAGCTAAGCTAATAAGATAACATGATCCTACAACTTAAAATTAAGAACTTCAACCCAAAATCAGCAAAGATGAAAATTTTGAATAGCGTTGACACTCTAACCCTAACTGGCTATCACTATAAAGGAAGGTTATCACTCTATACACTGAAGTTGGAATTAAAACACCACAAGTGAGTTTAGAATGTCGCGACATGTCCGTTTAATAATTTTCTTAATTATACCATAATTGAATATGTAACAACCCTCCAACCTTACCTGTGAGGTTAACAAACGTCACCACTAGTTTATAGGTGATTTAAGACTACCAATTGTATATTAATTAATATTTTACTTTTTCCCCCTTAATATAAATGCAATTTTTTTCATGATTTAGTGTCTATTGTTGAATACCTTGTCAAATTTTCCACATTTTTAGCTAATTTACTTGCTCTTTGGATACTTTTATGGTCTTCATATTGGACAAAAGGAAGGCTTCATACGTGTTTAAACTTTAAAGCTTTCTGGCCAAGACAGAAAAACTGTCTAACACAGCGAAGATTTAGGGGTCATACCTACAAAAACAAGATGAAAAATAAAACAAACAAACTAGGAAAAGATATCTATAATAAAATGAGTATGCTTGTTGCAAAATAACCGTGATCATGTTGGAGTTGGTTGTTACCTGTTAGGGATGGACAGCATTTATACAATGCTCTAATAAGGAAGAATGGTAAAAGGAGCAAATGCTTTTATTTGAAGTAACAGTGGTGGGAAAACAGCTGATGCAATAATATTGTCAGAGCAGTGGCATTAATGTGTATTCTTACTTTAAGTGGAACTGTATCTAGCCTTTCAGGGATGGGTTTGTGGGAATGAAGTGGGTCATTCACTGAAGCTATTTCATAGGTGGTTTGAACATTAAAACTGCAATCACTTGGTTCTTAAAGTTGAAAACATTCTACCTGGCATTTTCTGGTCTATAGAACCTTTGTATTGTTGAATGAATGGTTTCATAGGCCCTTCAAAGTTTGATATCTTTGGGGTTATGGTATTAAACTTGTCTTCTTGATGAGATGACTGACCGTTTTTCACTTTTTATTTGTGCTCTTTTCCTATTATGTCAACAATCTCCTGAAATTTCTTGTCTTGGATTAATCTTGAGCAGGAGCTCGTCTTAGATCAGGTTGCAGTGCCGGGATCTGTTGAAGTTTCAGAGTAAGCCTTATCTGTGTGTGTGTGTGTGTATATACCCGATCATGTTGTTTATAAAATGTTCAAACTCCTGTATTTCCCCTTTAATCTTTTTTGAATAGTGTAATCGTTTGACTCCCTCATGGGTAAGTTGCTAAACACTGCCAATAGTTAAGTCATTTTTAATTTCACTGGGTAATTTATGCAACCATTAGCATAATATTGAGTTTTCTGGCTCACCTTACTTGTTTCTCTCATTTCAGGTATGATCAAGGGTCAGATATACCACAAAAACAAGACCCAAGTAATTTAGAAGCTGTGCCAATGGATTGCAGTGGGGATCAGGTTTTTTTAGTTCAACTCAACAGACATCTCAATTTCCTTCTAATTTGATTTTATGATGTAGAAAATTATATATTCTACTGATTTTTTGGCATCTTGCCGTTGATTAATACGTTCTGCTTGCTGTTAGGTTGAAGGTCTAGCTGCAAATTCTGGATTTGTGGAGAACGATAAGGATGTGGATACTCCTGGCTTAGAGGAAGTGCCTTCCTTGTCTGTTGTTCACAAGGCATTGGCTGATCTCGTGGAATCAGAAAACCACATTCTAACAGAAATTAAGTGTGTTGAAAATGCTTCTAATAAATCAAAATTTCTCAATGGGGATAATGGTCCAATGGATCAGTCTTTGCACAATGATATAAATCGTGATGCTATAATCAATGTGCCTCCTGAAAATGGTTGGCACATTAGTGACATGGAGAAAGAGCAAACTAAACCACAAGGAAATTCTGTTCATGATGCCTCATCTCTGGAGTGCACATCTGCTGTTGGTACTATTAGAGGATCTGACGGTTTAGATAAGGTGAAAGATATGGATAATGGTGCTGTGCACTCTATGGATAAAACTGACGGGGAATATGCAGAATCTCCTAGCTGCTCCAATGTCACCTTTGATTTGGAGGACACTTCTCGAAGAACATGTTCAAGTAGCATCTATGTTAGCACATCAGATGGTTGTTTGGAGAATGGTAAAGCCTCACACAAATCTGAATTTGGCAATTGTGCTCAAACCACTGACAATTTAGAAGAGCTATGCTCACCTGCCAAAGCAATAGCTTCAGATCCTTCCTGTCCATTGGAGTCACCCAGTAGACCAACAGTTATTGATGGTGAAGCTCAAGCTTGTCAGGAACGAGATGATTCTGAAAATTTAAAAAATCCCATTGTTGACAAAGACCTCTCATCTCTTCGAGGTCTTGGAAGTGATAGTTTAGCTGCTGCAGAGGAAAACTTGGTGGATTTGTCTGGAAGGGAGGAGGAAGTTCGTGCTCCTACAGCTTCCATTGAGGTGCAAGGTTTGTTTTACTAGTTTTATGAATGTAGTCTTGTATAGATTCCTCCCCCCCCCCCCCCCAATTTTACATATGACACCATCTTTTCTTAGGATGCTTTCATGTTATATTGTTCCTGATTAACTGCCATCTTTGCAGTTGAAGCCTGCCAAACTCAGATGTCAGAACCTGGTCTATGTGATGATCAGTTGGAAAATTCAAATAATTGTGCTACATCTGATTTGTCTGCACCTGAAAAGTTACTCTCTGCACCGGAAGGACCTCTTGATAAACCAAGTGATTTGCTGGGAAACTCTACCCCTGACAAAGAAGTACTAGCAGAGAATGATGAAATTGATGCTGGAACCAAACTCATTTCTGGAAAAAAACGAAGTATAACTGAAAGTACATTAACTATAGAGAGTATAAACTCAGTTGAATCATTTGGAAGGCTTGGATCGAGGAGAACTGCAGATTCAGTTCCTGATGATGATGACTTGTTGTCTTCAATTCTAGGTAGCAGCATTTTTAACTCTAAAAAATATTATAGCATGGATTGTTGTTCTTTATAATGTATTGTTGTGAATGATATAATTTTTTCAGTTGGAAGATCTTCCGTTTTCAAGATGAAACCAACTCCTTTTGAAGTTGCATCAATGAAATGTGCACGATCTGCACCAAGATCTCGTGTCACCAAGAGAAAAGTGCTTATGGACGATACTATGGTCTTACATGGCGAGTATGTTTCAATGTGTTTCTAGTGCTCCTTACACTTTTTTAGATCTCACTAACTTATGTTTATCACCGGTTCTTTTCTCTAATGTATTTGAAATTTGATCATCACCATTATTCCTCTTGCATGGTCAATATAAAATTTCATCTTATTTGAGCTCTCTACTGTCATGAGTCATAAATCAAATTTTGTTTACGAAATTCATGCACTTGGAAGTTTCTGTACTTTCATGTTTATCTTCCATCAATGTGTATTCCTTCTATGAAGCATCTTTCTGATTTCTTATGTAGTCGACAAGTTTTACAATAGTGGCTTTTGTTGACAGTATTGAATTCTTGATTACTTGCTGAGTGTAGAATATGGCAATATATTTGCAGTATGACATGCATTTTTTTTATTTTTTAAATTATCTATTTTTAATTCTGATTAATGTACTTAAGTACTGATTTGGCTTTTTTTCCCTATCAAGTACAATACGGCAGCAGTTGGTAAATACAGAAGATATACGTCGTATACGCAAGAAAGCACCTTGCACTCACCCGGAAATTTCATTGATTCAGAGAAAATTCTTGCAAGATGAAATCTTTAGTGAACCTATATTTACCGGTGAGAGCAAAGCGCTGAAAATTCATTGTATCTTGTGCTTTTGTTACGTCGAGTAGGAAAGAAGAACTTCAACTTTTCAGTTATTACAATGGGCCTGAAAGTCCATGATATGCTTTGGGGTTGTAAAATACAGGTAGAAAAAGAGGGAGAATGATGTGATGCATAAACCACATCTAATATGCTACTACCAAAAGAGGAAAATGTATGGATACAACTCAAAATATATCTCCTTCGGGCCCTGATCAAATTGGATTTGCTTTCATTGAGCAAAGTTATAGTTATTCTCAATGTGTGTCTAATCTTGGGCATCCTCAGGCCTTAGTGAGGACAAGATCCTATTTCTACATATGTTTTATCTATTACCTTGTATGCTGTTGCCTCATTTCTGTGGACATAATAATTATTTTTTAAATGTGGAGTTCTGTTTTGTGGTACTGATGTCAAATGTCAAGTTCTAGAATGGTATGGATGACAAGATTTATCTGTGATCTATCTCAATATATGTGCACCTATGTCTTGATTCTTGAAATTATTCTTCCTCTGCTAGTGGAGGACTTTCTAACAGATTGTAACTTTAGTACTTTATAAGTTTGCTTATTGATGGTGTGCCTTTCAGGTATCTCGGTTTACTTGGCATCTTTGCACAGTGAATCCTATGATCTAAGCAGTATCAGGATTTCTGAAGTTGAGGAAAATCATGCATCATCTGAACTAGCTAAGAATTCAGAGTGTTCTGTTAAACTAAATATTGCTGAAGGTGGAACTGAAGGAAGCTATGTGCCTGTAATTCTTGGAAATGATGAGCAAGCACGATCTTCTGGCATTCTTAATGCTCAGCAGGATAGCTATGCTGTTGATGATGTACCTCAACTTCTGCAACATGAACCTTTAGGTGGGATCATTGAAATGGAAATTGATGTAGCTAATATTGAAGCTGCTAATGCAGCAAGTCATTCTGTTTTGAATGAGTTCCGGGTATCATCCCCTACTGATCTTGTTACTGGAGATACTAGTAACATGACAGCTGGGGAGATAACCAACACCATGGCTGGTTCCATGTTAAACAATGTAACATGCCTTCTACCTGATCAAAATATGAGCACTCAACCTGGAGAGGATGCTTCTGAATTGGATGTGAGAAATGACAAAGTATCTCCTCCTACTGAAGTTTTAGAACATGATGTTGAAGGTATCATTGCAACTGAGACAAAGGCAACTGATGAGTTATTGTTAGAGGAAAGTAAAACCAATAATTCAGTTGAGGTTAGTATGGCAAACTACCCTGCACCTGTTGGAAATGGAACTGATTTTCTTGCAACTATACAAACTGGTGAGTCTGTGAATGACGCTCAAAATGCATATGAAACTGGACATGGCAAGGCTGTTGTAGCAGATGAGGTTCAAGTAGTGGATGCACTCTTGGATCATGATGACAAAGACACTATCTGTAAGAATAGCGAAGAATGTAAACTAGATTCTACATATTCAGAAAAGGTTGATACGGCTCTGAAAAATGCTTCATTACTTGATGGAGAAACACCAACCTTTCAGAAAGTTGATGCAGTCAATGAGGAAATGATCTCTCTTGCAGATAATCGAGCTGTAAGTTTTTTAACGCATGTAAAACCTTCTGTCGATCTGAAAATATTAAAATGCTATGAGTTTTTTCCTACTTGGTGGTGATAGATATCCTTGTATGGATTTAATTAATGCTCTAACGTTATAGCAGAAAGCCAACAGTAATTGAGATGGTGTACATACATGCATTATGCATCAATATGGTAGACATTTGAGAGTTCTCATAACATTTTCATTTCTCAACTTTATATTTCATTTTTTGCTGATGTGCTTTCTTTACATTAATTTATTATACTCCCATGAAAATTATTTCTGCTTTGGCCTTTCGTATTTTATTTTAGGCATTAAGAATCCTCTAAATGACTATTTGACCCTGTGGTTGCAGGAACATGAGGATGTTGCAGTTGCAAATGATACAGGTTTGATCTTTTTTCTTTCTGTTTTGCTTCTACTTTTGAGTCTTTCACTGTTGATGGGTATTTTGTAAATTATATTTATTTATTTATTTGGACATGACTTAAGAGCTTTTGACTGAATGGGTTATACTTCAGATGTAAAATTTTCATTTAATCTGTGAGCTCTAGGTAGAGTGGACCATAGTTAGAACCATAGGATAATGTTAATATTTATTAAAAACATGTCTTTTGTATGCCTTAATCAATCTTGATACTGCTATTGGGTTGCTAAATATTTATTTTCTTATCTTTCCTTCCAGAATTTCTGAATGTAGATGCTGATGAGCTAGGTGATGATGATGAAGATGACATGTCATGTGGTGATGAAGGTCGTCTTCTTGAAAATAGTGGATGGTCTTCTCGTACCAGGTTTGCAAGCTCCATGTAGTCGGTTGTTTTACAGTTGTTTACTTTTTCCCTTTAGTTTCAACATTAATTTAGAATTATTTGTCGAATTGTTTCTTGTAGCTGAATAACTGAAATGAGGCTAGCTCACATATTGATGTTTGGTCATACCTTTTCTTTCAGGGCTGTTGCCAAGTATCTCCAGAATTTATTTGAGGATGAAGCTGTAAATGGACATAAGGCACTTTCAATGGACGGTCTATTGGGTCGTAAAACAAGAAAAGAAGCATCGAGAATGTTCTTTGAAACACTGGTATGTACACTAAACTTAACTGTATAGTAACTTTTAAAGTGCGTAACACTCACCTACTCTTTAATGAAGGAATATTTGCATCCAAGAGTAGTCTAGCATACTAAACCTTGCATGTAAATTAAAGTAGACAACTTCAATTTATCTCCCTTTTCGTATTTGACGAGGCATACTTGATTTCAGAAAATGAGAAGACATGGGCATATAAAGAAATCCCATCATTGTAAGGCTGTCCTGTATACGAGTACACAACTTTTGCACTAGTACTAATACTTGAAGGATATTCTGACATTATTGTGAAACAAAATCAATCAATAATTAAATATTAATGAATCAGATAATAAGATTGAATCTTAAAAAGAGTTGAAAGTAGGAAGCAAGAATGTTTTCATGATCTGATCATGTGATCTTTGATGCTATGGTGCGGAAGAATGTAAACTTGTCTTCTTCGTTTCTTGATGTTCGGTTCACCAACTTGCAGGTTCTTAAGACAAGAGATTACATCCATGTAGAACAGGTGAAACCCTTTGACAACATCTGTATAAAGCCTCGAGTGAAGCTCATGAAATCGAGTTTCTGATCCCTTTCATAGGAAAGTTGTTTTAGAGAAGTGTTGTATTGTCGTTCTAGCTCTGATGCTCAGGCTCTCCACGTGGTTATTTATTTTGTTTCAAAATGTTTTTTTTCTTTCTAATACTTGGTTGTTTAGGTTAGCTTAACTGTTGGGGCTAAGGGATAGCACATGTCCTAATGTTGAGTGTATGCAGGTGGATAATAATTTGTATGTATATATAATGTGTAAAAATATATCTCAATTTTCTGTTGAAGATGCTATTTTTTTTACTTCAGTTTGCCCATTTCAATGATATTCTAATCATTTGCAGATTAAATAAAAGGATTTTTACTGTTTTTGAGTCCGAATTATGAACATTGATCGTTTGAGTTGAGCCGATTAAGTGACCAATTATGTTGTAAGCTTATTTTACTGTCAGAATCTGTCATAAACTAGTGTCTTGAAATTTATAATCATGTAAGTTTTTTATTATTACTTTGAAGGACATTATGTAATTGGATTTGAGCGTAATTGAGTATACTGAAATTGAATTTTAATTAGATTTAGGTGCAATTGGTTATATTGGAGTTTAATTTGGTTATATAATTTAGTGTATTTATGCAGTTGTGACGTGATTGGATAATCGTCGTAATTTATAAATTTTATTGAACTAAAAGTAATAAAAGATACACTATTTAATTATTAGGGGAACGATGAGAATTGATGTAATTATGCATTAGGAAAAACAATGGATATGAGTGGCATGACCATTCTAGACATTTGAGTTATAAAACTGGAAGAAAGAAGTACAAGAGTAAGTCGCAAAACGGTTGCAAGGGAAAAAAAGGAAAAAGGCAAAGCAAGTAGTAAGTAAAGATAATGAAGATCATAATTATCATGTGGCATTTACCTTAAAGATGAAAACATAAGTGGTCACTATCTCTAACCTTCATAGTGACGGTGATGAAAAATCAGTACATAATGAAAATGATATTTACAAGACGTATCAAACTATGTATGCTAAATGGATCGAGATATGATGATATGTAAGATAAAAGGATATGAAACATTTATTTATCAAAATGATATTAAAAAAATTAATTCTTGAAATGACACTCATTTTTGTCACATAAAATGAAGGCATACTTACGTAACAATGCCTTTTTTTTAAAAAAAAGAAAAAATATTTGTTTAAGTGGTAGGTACCGAATGACATCAACATTGGTTCTGAGCTTGTCACATAAACAAAGAAAAGAACCTTTCAAAATACAGTTATATAGACACATCTTATGTGAGAAAAGTGAATGTCATTTTAGAAATTAAAGATTTTCAGTACCATTTTAATAAATAAATATTAAAAATTATATTATTTTAATAATTTAGCCAAATTAGGTTAAACTTGTAAATAAACTGGGAAGCTGTAAAAGGAAGCTTTTGCCAACAAAGTGAATACTCTACAATAGAAGAAAGAATAGTTAGTGCTCTTTTCAAGCATGACATTGTTGTTGAATATACTCGAAGTCATAGCTCATGCGGAAGACATCCTGCCTCATTCCCTTGAACGAAACTGAATGGAAACTAAATTCATTTTATTTGAATTCATGCAATTTAATCACAATTTATTAATTCAAAATTCACATATAATTTTAAAATGTAACGATTTTTCTATAATTAAAAGAGTGTGTTACTTAGACGAGTTCTATAGGGGTGGCTATCCTGTAACTGTATATTACACCATCAAAAACTTGGCAGTACACAAGTAACAACCACCACCCCCTTCTTCATTCTTAACAAAATGTTACAAAATAACTCGCAGTTTGCACCCATAGCTAGTTGTGAGGCAGAACGGGGAAATTTTATGCATGGTTGAAGGTACAACCCTGTTGCTCCTGAGCAGCAGAGCCTGGTTTCAGAGGTGAGGTTTCAATGGTAATGCTCTTATCAGCAGGAAGCAAGCACCTTTTCGAGAAAAATGTGGCTATACTTTTGGTATGTCCACCACCCCTCTCTGTTAGTCAGGTCCGGAGAAATTGTTTGAAAGAAAATTTAACAATTAAACTAGTTGAGACAAATCAGATAAGACACAAATACCTGGTGAAATCGGCATGCCAAGCTTCACTAAGATTTCTTTCTTCACCTGCAAAGGAAACATCATTCCATGTAAGTAGAAAAATTTGCCTAGACCTCTCAAGGCTCAAGGCGAGCTGACATTGCCATTTAAAGACCATTTTGGTTGATTCAATAAGCTATGAGCAGTGTGATATGTATACACAATGCCATAATCATCAGCATTATTTGACATTTCATGTTAAAAAGGAAATTAACATCCAAAAGGAAATTAACTGAAAGATATGACCAAAAGGGAACATCCAGCTTAACTAATTCATTCGTGGAAATGACTTCATAGTATCAAATCATTGATTTTACTCCCTAGTCTATCACATCCAATCTTCTTTGTATTAGAGGTTAACAACTACTTAAAACCAAGCATGGTATTATAGAATTCTCAAAAGGAGGTGCAGTTTCATGTCCATCCATCCATATGAACACCAAAAATAAAATAAAAAATAAACAAAGATTCCACCAGCAGAAAGCCAGATCTTAAAAAAAAGAGTAGCAAACCTGCCAACGATTATCAGAGAAATTGGAAATTTCTCGCACTTTATCTTTTAACTGAGACTTCGGTATTTTAGGAAACTTCTCCTGCAAAGACTCTAACAACCTTCTGATACCATGGGAGCATGACTGGATTGTAGATACCTAAAACCAGCAAGATCATCATAACCACAACAGTTTAGTAAGCTCCATCATAAGATCAACTCACAGCTGCTATCATTCTCAAATATGATAAGCAATTGACAGTTTACATTAAACGCTGGTTAGAATTGCAACTTACAATAAGAGGCAAATCTGAGTCCAGAATTAAGGCTGGTGTTGCACCAGCCTTCCCACTTGTACAAGCTTCTTGATTGTCATGTTCCATGCTATCCATAGATATCTCTACAGATGGGCCAAAAGGATATGCCTGCATGCTCAGAGCATGCAAGCATGTCTGCTCCAACTTAGGAGTACCATTAAGATCTTCAGCCATTAGAAGTGACGCCTTTTCATGCAGTAAATTCAATATAATCAATGGTTGATTTTTTCGAAGTGCATGCTCAGTTAAATTGTTAAGATACTTCTGTTGCCGAAGCAATGCACCAAACTCCTCATTTTGCCCATCTTGCTCACTAATATTGGAAGTTTGGGTCTCCACAACTGGAACATCAGATTCCATCCTGTCAACTTCTACACCCTGCATATAAGCCTCAAATAAGCACTTTGATCCTGTGGTTTTTTCATAATGGCATGTCATTCTTTTTATTCAGAAGCCAGTAACAAGGTAGAATAACTTCCAAATCAGTTTTTACCTCATTATCCGATAGATATCCATCTGGTACAAAAAATCCATCTTCACTTTCATCCTCATCATCTGCTTTAGAACATCCTTCCTCTTCATCTTTATCGCAATCTGAGAGGCTTTCACCAGGCTCCTCCTATTAAATGAAAATGTCATTTCCAGGTCTACATCTAATATTCAGTCAGAATAACAAATTTACAATACCTCCTCCCATTCTTCATCACTATCCACATCATAGTCTAAATCTGGATCCTTCCTCCATGGGCATCGTGGTCCCACAACATTACTGAAGATACACACAAGTTATCAATGTAATTAAGAAATTGGAAAAAAAGTGACACCAACACAATGTCACAGAGAACACTAACTAAATGACATCAAATAACATTTTTTCCCAATCATTATCACCACTGCCTGTTAATATTATTTCATTTATTATTAAGTTAACCAAGCTATAAAAATTCCAATCTTAACCCAGAAGGAAACACAAGTAATAAATATAAAACCATTCATTCCGGTTATATATTTGTTCAAATAAAATGCTTAGCCAATTTCACGCATAATGATATAATAATGAATTCTTTTATGTTTAACATTGAACCTTTCAACTATATACTAATTTTCTAGGCTGAATATAGTTTAATTTAGAATAACATGAAGCAAAAGCAAGAAATAGGAGCCTACCTTTTCTTAGGCCAAATACCATAAAATGCAGGTCTGTTGCTTTTATCAAACTGCAACAACTGCTTCCTTACACAGCACTTCTTAACATCATGAACAGAAACATCAGCATCCTGTTCTTCCCAGCCATCTGCAAGCCTTTCAACACTCGAGTCATCATGGGATAACTCTTTATTGGAAGTTAACTTGAGTTCCTTAAACAATTCTCTCTTCGGTTTCATACGCATCCCCCAACACTGTTTTTGGTTCGAACGAAGGGAATAACCTAAGTGACGCCAAGAAGATAAATGCAACCTGAGAAGTAAAATAGTAAAAAGTTTACTTGAAATAAAATAGAACCAGAGCCTGTATAATTGTACAAGTCAAAGAAAACAAAGAAACCCACTTGCGAAGTTCATCGGTATTAGCTTCTTCTTTAGATGAAAGAGCCCTGTCCATGGAGGGGGTAATTGTTTCAGGCACAATTTCATTTTTTGGGGTGGATGGAGAATATATGGTCGGCTTAGTCATTTCTTCAATCTGACATGGTGATGTTTTACATTTTTTGAGGAAGCGTTCCATAACTGAAGCTTGCTTTTGTATTGAAAGTTTCCTTTTAAGTTCAGCCTCTTCCTTCTCAAGTCGTCGTCGTTCTCTCTCAGCTTCTTCTTGCTGTTTTTCCAGCTGCTTCCTCATCTCAGCCTCCTCTCTTTCACGACGCTTTTCATCCTTTTCTGCTTCATTCTGCAAGCGCTTTTTCACCTTTTCCTGAAACAAATTACATTCATGAAAATCTAAGAAGTAAAAAGAATTATAACTGCAAATAGCATACCCAACAGAAGCACTATCCTGGGAATAATTCAGATTTACACATTCCAATAGCACAGCCAATGCTAAAGATACAAATATTTGATAATAATCAGTTTCACACATGTAACTTCGAAATTTTGCACATACATTTTGCAACTTTTCCTTCTGAAGTTCGCGGTCCACTTTCTTCTTCTCCTTCTCAATTTCCCTTTTAGTTCTCTCCAGTTGCTTTATTAACAATTGTTCTTCTCGCTTAGCCTCTTTCTCAGCCCTATGACAACAGAAAATACTTTACTGTGAAGAAAATAATTCAAACACAAAATCTGTAGAACTGTATAAATACATACATCTCAGCACCAGTCTTCTGCAGCATGTTACTCATTAACAAGCGAATGTCCACCTCACTTAATACTTTGGCT